CTTCCGCGTTTTATCGTGTGTGATGCGGGTGGTTCGCAAGCGCGTTTCCTTCTCTCTAAGCTTAACCCATCGACTACACATTCTTCCGGTGGCTACGGAGGTAGTGCACCCGGTCAAACTATATTCACGGACGATGTTTCCCTCCAAACGTTTATGGACCATCTTATGAAGTAAGTAGCGTGTTCAAAAGGTCATTAATCTTTCGATGCTAACAACTGTCCTCCTAGACTTGCCGTTTCTGGCACCAACTAATGAGAGAACGGTTCATGTTTTGGAGTGGTAGATGAGTGATAGTGAAAATTCAATGATCAATATTTGCTTAGTTAGTCAATTTCAGTTCTTGAATTCAAATAATGGCACGCTATTGTTGAGGTATCCCAGGGACCAGGGCAGCACGGCCGCGCCACCTGGCGAACTCTGTATCACGTGATATATTAGGGTCTTGCCCTAACGCGCTAGTTCGCTAAATGGAACAAAACCAAATTTGAACTTCGAGCTTCAACATCCGGAGACTCGCACTTCATCACCTCACCACCTTTCGACAGAACCAGGAAGATAGACTACCTTTCGCACTCGCCATGCGTAAGTATCATCTCCTCTGGTGTGCTATGGCGGCCGACTGACATTTATACGATGTAAACAGCTCCAAAGCCAGATCCAACCGAAGTCAAGGTGATGTAAGTTTTTTTTGGTCTTCATCAGTTTTTTTTACCAAGCCCGCAAAATCACAATGTGCTAACAATTGCTCTTTCAATAGCCACCTTAGGGCCACTGGTGGTGAAGTCGGTGCCCAGTCTGCCCTCGCTCCCAAGATTGGTCCACTTGGTCTTTCTCCCAAGAAGATTGGTGAAGATATTGCGAAGGCCACTGGTGACTGGGTACGTTTTCGAATAACCAGATGGTGTCGCATTGGCTGCTGTCCGAACCGCACTAATAAATAAACAGAAAGGCCTCCGTGTCACTGTCAAGCTTGTCATCCAGAACCGCCAGGCTACCATCTCTGTTGTTCCCTCCGCTTCCTCTCTTGTCATCAAGGCCCTGAAGGAGCCCCCACGTGACCGCAAGAAGGAGAAGAACATCAAGCACTCCAAGTCCATTCCTTTCGATGAGATTGTTGAGATTGCCCGCATCATGAGACCTCGCTCTTTTGCCAAGGAGCTCCGCGGAACCGTTCTTGAGATTTTGGGTACTGCTTTCAGCGTTGGTTGCCAGGTCGATGGACGCAGTCCTAAGGATGTTAGCGACGACGTCAAGTCTGGTGAAATTGATGGTATGTAGCCCTCTTTATAACTTTACTTGAGTTATGTCAGAATACTAACGTGTTTCGCATAGTGCCCTCCGAGTAAATTTAAAACCAAAAGAAAAAGTTAATGAAATGAAATGACAAAAGAGATGTGAAATACGCACAAAAGCTGTTTCTGCTCTTGGTTTCTTCTACCTGTACTACTACTCAGAGAGAGCTCCCCATTACTCCATGGGATTTACGAAGTAACGAAACTTTTTTTTTTTTCCACTTCCATCTACACTTCGTTCCAACCCTTATACCCCTGCTGCATCATCTTTTCCCCCCTACCCAGCCTTTGCCAACACTCTGGCCTGTACCGGCGCGAATGTTTTCATTTGAGCAAAATCTCTACGGTACTGGCCTATTTTGGTGCAAAGGAGATCGAGTGACCAACTACTCACCGCAGTATCCTGGATGGTGCTCGGGTATGGTTTCCTTTCGGGGAAATACATGTCCATGCATCTATCTTGTGGATGCGGTGGTCCATCTTGAAGGTCTACATGTCTTCTCAGCCTTTAATAACCTACTTGGGTTATTGGCTCAACCTTTCATTTGTTTCGAAAAGTATTACCAGGATAGAAGCCTTTACTCCTGGGTATTCTGAACTGCAAGTGGAACGGCTCTATGTTCGTATCATTTGAATGAATGTGGTGCGTCTTCAAACTCGAATCCATGTTTCTTCTCCTTTGGGTAAAGGACAGGATCTGATACGCTCATTTCAGCGGAATCGACAATAAATTTAACTGTGCATATTAAGGAACCCTTTCTTTTTCATGTTCCGCTTCCCCCCGCGCCGAATAGGCCAGACCATGTATGTGCGTATCTGCATTGGCCCGAGATCCCCGTTTGTAGCAGCCCAACGTAGGAAACACCGATGCATATCCCCGCAACAAATGACTAGACCTGAGCGCGTCAAACGAACGAGAAGTGAAGAAAACCATTGTTGAACCAGTCATCCTCATAACTACTATTACATGGCCGTTCATACATCATACACATGGAGAGAGAATAGGCCAAACGAGCTGCTGGCAGGCGAACATAGAAAAAGAAAAAAGTAGATGGCCGTCGATATAACAAGAAGATCTTGTGATTGCAGCTTGCATGTCACATACAGAATCCTTTCGCCTCTTTGAACGGAGGAGAAGAAATGGAGAATGTGATCAGTTGTAACACCGTTTGGAAGTGGCTTGCAGCTCGCCCACGGCCTGGGACAACGAAGATCGCCCCCTTGACTATAAGCCATGTACTCCGTACCCAAATTCTGAAAGTATAAAAAACCCATAGATGAAATCAAAGTGCTTTTCGTGCCTCATTATACAAATGCTGAAGCTAGATATCGATAAATATCAACCAATTAGTCAACTACAAAACCAGGGGATATGATATTGCATATGTATCCTGTAGAGCTCTGTATCTGTATATCCGCAGCCTGGACCCGATGCACAAAGCAATAGCAAGCCTTTATCATATTAAAATGGTGCAGGAAACCGTCATATATACGTAGGTAGCCTTGTGCATGTACTCCATGTCCAACCATACTCGAAGGAGAATTTCGGACAGAACAAATTTAAATTAAATTTCTCAAGGGAGAAGACCAACTTTTTGGACGCCAAAGCGGAACAATCTCCAGTCTCCTTTATTAGCCAGTCCGTATAATGCAATAGTTATGGGGGAAAGAGATGATGTAGAGCACCGAGTAGTTAATATAATGATAGTACCGGAGGATATGGTGGTTATTCCCGCTTCAGTTTCTTATATATATCAGAGGTAATTAGCCATTTTGATATCTCCATTAAGCTATCGGCATTTTCGGGTCAGCTCCCCGGTCGTCTTGTCTTCCCCATAATTACTGCGGGAATATATTATAATAAAAAAAAGGGGAAGAATGAAAGAAAGAAAATAGCTAGAACTATTTAGGTTTGCCCTCCCGTTGACGGCGATTGCTCAACGTGTCCAAATGCCAGGCTGGATCAAAGAATAGAATCGAAAAACGACTGCATCACGTACGGAGTACCCTGTCCGTTATTCGACCTGCGGGGATGGAGGCAAACCACGATACCCTCCCGTTCCCATGTCGATTGCCAAACACTACGAGCAGGTGAACTGTCCAGGATATTCCTTTCAGCCAAGGATCGCCTTTATCCCGGCCAAGTGGGGACAGCTCTGTGGGTGAATCCATGCTTTCAAGCCTTTGAACCGATCGATGTGGAGTCTCATGTGGATGTAGCCTTGATTTCTTTTATTTCGAGCTATTCGAGTGTGAAATTCATCTCCCATCGTCCTGGTCTCTGGCCCGTCTGCCGTGAAAGCTAGAGGGAAGAAGCAGACGGGTGGTCGTGTGTGTCCTTGCATCAACAAACGCCTGTCACATATACGCAGGAGCGGAAGCCGAGCACACCTCGTGTCTGCGAGCAAGCAACACTGGACTCCAAAAGAGAAAGGGAGCGGATGTATCAGTGGGACCGTTGGAGCCACAGCGGAGTCATCCTTTCCCAAATGAAGAATGCTCCGCAGACCATGTATGCTGACGATATCCAACAGGTGCCAAGCTGCGACCTGGCCCATGTACGGGAAGTACCCATGCGTGTCATCAAATATCGAGTGTAGGGGAAAAAAATAATCAAAGCGCAGCAGGAGGACGCAGATACTGCTTCTTCCCAACACCTGTTCCACAGGTTATATCATACTTTCTCTTTTCTTCTTCTGGAGGCTGCGATAAGGCGAAGCTGGACTTGTCGAAGAAGATTATATAAAAAGATGCTGGAAGGAGAGTTCGAAACAGGCCAGTGAAACATGATTAATCACACGGTTAAGCCTCGCCTAAGGGTGGAGCCATATAGAGAGCTCATCCACAGCCACGCAGAGATGTTGTCAGTTGCCGCGAGCCAAGATGATAATGCTGATGTGATGATGATGATGATGATGATGATGATGACGGGTAGAGGATTGTTTAGCTGTTGGTAGTGAGATCGGTGTAATCCCCCCGGCGTTTCCGAAGCAAAATGGTTTTGCCATATTAAGTATCTTTGATGAATATCTTGGAATTTCCCCTTTTCACGATGCGCGAAGCCCATCGAATCGCAGTTCGACACTGTAGAGAAGAATACCCAGTACGGGTGCATTGTTCGGGGCCGCTCTGGAAGAGGCCCAAGGTCCCAATCAAGCCACAGTGACATATGGGCGTTTAACGGCCACCAGTATCACCCACACAACAGTGGGCAAAGGCACGCTGATTATCGCCAAACCAAGTGGACGCCGACGCTGGTCCCAGAATAATAGGTTCCGCCCATACCGTATTTGTATGCAGAGTTGCGCCCTCAGCCCATCATCAAAAGTGGAAGGGAAGCCCACAGGTGGGAGGAGAACGCTCATCCTTCGACTACATCGCTGTCACCAGGGGAGAAGAGAAGTCACTCTGGTCAGAAATGTGTCAGCGTCCCATACCATCCCATAGATGTCCAATATACTCCGTCCAAGGCACATCGACATGCACCACCCATCCACACACAACCCTCTGAACCTGCACAGCTAGCCTGCATCCCTGTCCTGAGACCTGCGAGCCCATTGCTTTTTCCCTGTGGTCGACTAGTTAGAAGTGGCCGCCCAGCCTGGTCCCTGTCACCACCCGTCCCACCTTCGACCCTCCCTCCCCATGCCTCTAATAATAGCCCCATCAGTAGCATGTTGATGGGCGTTTTTTCTTTGCTGCGATCGCCTAAGCCCACCGCGTTGCTTGGCTGCTGTGGTCCAACTGCCTGCCTTCGACTCCAACTGATCTTTCTGCTGGGCGGTTTCTATCGTCTGCATCATAATCTTGCATCATCTCGTTGTCTGAAGTGTTGTCACTGAACGGCCGCCCAGTGGCTATTATCCCTCCCTTGTCCACCAACGCCGTCTCTCCCCCCTTCCATCCTGCTCCGTCCCCTTGACTTTTTGCCTTTCCATTCCTTCCAGGCTATAGAGTTGGCGTTAAGCACACTTTATACGCTTGCCGTGTTGGTGTGGACCTGGCTCGCCCTAGCGGCTAACATCCATCTCCAGTTGAAAACAGATCTTCTGTTCTTCAATTTGCCTTGGTCTTCATCTTTTCCCTTCTCTCTCTTTCTCTTGTTTCTTCTCTTATTATCTCTCTCTGGTGCCCCTGGCTCTGCTTCTCTAGCTCGATCGACTGGCTCTTCTTCGACCCTCTCTTCCCCCGTCCCCTCTGCTCCCAGCGCTCCTACCCGTCCGCCTGCATCTCGCCAGGGCCGCTAGCTGTGGCGTCTCTTGTCCCCGATCTCTTGAAACCTCCTGGCCTGACCTCATATGTCTCCACCGTCGCCGCCAGGGCAGGCTTCAACCCAGCCAGGAATTTAGTGCTTCGGTCGTGAGAGCCCATAAATCTTCCTCGTCTGCTAGTTAAGTAAGTCGACTCCAGACCTTCGGATCAACGAACGCGGTTTTGCTGTCCTCAAAAAGCGGAGCTTTCTTGTCGCTCTCTTCATCGTGTGTTTGCCCGTCTGTCAGTCTCTTGCCTGCTGCGCTTTGGTCGTCATCGTCGTCGTTCTCGTTGTTGTTCTTTTCCTTTTTTGCTTTTCCTTCCTCTCTCTCTCTCTGCCTCACCGCCCTGAGTCTGTCCTATTTTCTTCCAGTCTTCCACGACCGGCAAAACTTCCAACCTCACCTCCATCAACGACCGCAGAATCCGCAGCTCGACCGCGATACCTGCGGCCATCCTCGCCTCGATCACTCTTTATCCCGTTGATGGCTTGGAGCAACGGCCTTCGTGTGTACTGACGCTGACGTCGCTTGCCAGAAACCGACCCTCCTTCATCGCGTGCGGCTGAGCCGGACTGCAACCACCCATAAGCCTCCCCGGTTTGCTCAGGGCAGTGCCCTTCCAACACCCGTTATCAGAGAACCCTGTGCTATTCGGATCCATCTCTCTCTCTCCCTCTCCCTCTCACGCATACACACACATCGGCCAGGAGTCATACGTGTCCGTGATGTGGCCTCGAAAACGAACAAGAAGATTCCTTGGTTGATGAAGAACTCTGCTTCACCCGTTATTTTCGAAGTAGTTTTTTTCTTCTTTTATTTTGCGATAGACACGACCGATAGATAGGAGTGAGAGAGGAGGGAAGACGGTATTCCCCTCCCCCCCGTTTCCCGGCAGAAGCATTCAAGATGCTGCCGTCAGTGGCACACCAGCCTCTCCAGTTCCTCCCGCACCGCCATACTCAGTCCGTTTACTCAACCAATACTCCTTACGACCTCCACGGACAAGGCATACATTCGTTCCAGGATGACTTCCAATTCTCACAATACGCCAACCACGGGCCATCCTCTTTGGTCAGAGGGAGCAGGACGCATTGCCCACGACCAATCCAGCGGCCTGACGTACACAGCCTGCCAGATGGCCGATTACCCGCCGGTTCTGCCTCGCAAGAGAATACGTTACGACGGAAAACACCCAATGGTACTCTTGCTGCCGGCTACGATGCTACTCCTGGAGATAGGTCTATCCAGCAGCCTGCTACCAAACACATTCTCGTCTCCTCGCTTGATAATAGCCAGATAATGCCCCAACCTGGCCTCTCCCTCGACCCTCTACAGCAATTCAAGACCGTCGAACCGCTACCTCTTTCTCAGCACCAAAATTTTCCTCCCGCGTTCAAGCAAGATGCAAATAGAATAAATACTGTGCACAACGGTATACCACAAGAATTTCCAAACCCTAACTGGATTAGATCTCTAAATCCCCCCCAAGGAGGCATCGACTCGGTTTTAAATCAGACCTCCAGTTTAACTGCAGGTCAGAGGTATAACTATTGGCAGAACCTGCCCACAGTTCCCACAGTGCTTGCGTCCTCTTTTCAACCTGGCCTCGGGGGACCTGAGTCGGCCGCTGCAGCGCAGTATGGCCAATACTGGCCTGACGGGCCATACATGCCCCCGTATCGACCTGCCACTTTTGGAGATACGAGATATCAATCTACCCCGTCATTAGGACAACACTCGCTGCCCACCAATAACCGGCTCGCAGATGCTCAATCACTTTTTAACAGACAATCTCTCCCCCCTTCCGAATTTCTTGCACCAGGTTTCTCTTGGAACCCACTCCCAGCCCAGTCAACTATAAACGCCCAACAGCAGCATCAAGTATATGCTCACGACCTCTCAAGACCTCAACAACATTATGCTCCCGGTCATATCCCTCAAAAGGTGCCCGATCAAATCTGGGATCAACCCCAGTTGCAGTACGGGCCATCACTCCCTTCAAAACATGATGTACATCATTTAGATTCGGTTGACTCTCTACGTTGGCAACAAACTTCACAGAATGGCCTCCATCCATCCGCATCTAACGTTACCAGATCACCGAGGAACCCAGAGTTCAAAGAGAAAACCCTCTCATGGGCTCATAGCGTTTACGTCGATCTTCTTGCATCGTTGCATAATGCCAGGAAGAAAGCCAGTCAGGGTGCAGATTCCCACTCTCGCGAGCCTCTCAAACCCAGCATATACCCTAAACCCCCAAGGCAGCCAACCTCCGACTTCTCACGTTCCGAAAACATGGCCAGAAAACCCAGGAATCACGATCCACAAGTCCAGGCCATGAACATGCACCCGCAGCGAAGCCATTCCATTCATTTAGATCAATCCGTGAGTGGATTTTTCGACACAAAGAGACACCCTGCCCACAGGCAATTCCCATCCATTGACGATTCCGCTCAGTTGAGGCATCTAAATCAGTCCTTTAATCATGGAATGTCTTCTGATGTGTCGATGAATGGATACCGGACGATCCGACGTAGCCATGGCGCTTCGATGACTCGTATGTTCAGCCCTGCTCACGAAGCAATGTCAATATCTGAAAAGGCGGTTTCTGCTTTGGAAATGCTTGGTAGTCTCTGCAAAGAGAGTGGCTGGACATGGATCGATGGAATGCTCGTTGGGGGCTGCCTTGCCTACGGTCTAGGTGACTATAACAGAGCTATGCGTTGGTATAACCGGGTTATAAACCAAGATTCCACGTAAGTTTGGATTTTAGCATATGCCGTTAGAGAGTTTATGCTAACTGTAACTATAATAGGCACGTTGAGGCAATATCCAATCTTGCTGCCTCGCTTCTTGCTTTGGAGCGCCGAGAAGAAGCTCTTCAGCAGTGGTTGCGAGCTATAAAATTACGTCCAAGCTACTTTGATGCTGTCGAGCACCTCATCGGGTTGTTATGCAGCAGTCAGCGAGGGAAGGAAGCTGTCAACATCGTTCAATATGTCGAAAATTCTTTGAGACTACCACCAAGCGGTGACTATTTCAAGTCGAATCGTGCATGCGATCAGTCCGATACGGAATCTGAAGACAGGGAGTCCAGCGTATCGACCACAGAATCCGCCGACAAAATGGCATTTGACTACACTGACAGCATCCAGAGCCCACTGGCATTTGCTCGTCGTGGGTCTGACCAATCTACCCCTGGCTTTGGGTCGAGTGGTTATGCTATTCCTGGGGCCGATAATGGCAGAATCCTTGGTCTTATACATGCCAAAGGAAACATGCTGTATGCTCTGGGTGATAATGTGGCCGCTGCTGGAGCTTTTGAGGAAGCAATCCTCATTAGTACAGGCAAACGACGAGGAATGAAGAGCCTTATCCGCCATATTCTTTCGGCTTTTGCTGATGATAACAGGCGCGGCATTCCTACTTGCCGGCCATATGATCCCAAGGAAACCGTACTGCTATTTCCAGACAAGGCACTGCAAACGGCAAAGTTAGTATTTCACCCGCATGGCATATTGCCCGGCCTTCAATTTCTCCCAGATGGTCTGGCTAAGAGGGCTGCAATTTCTACAACCAGCAACTCGCTACTTTCGCTGGCCAAGATATACCAGGATGGCATGGCGTCGACATCTTCAAATGGAACCCTGAGGAGCACACCAGGCGTTCGAGATATTCTTGCTTTATACTATCTGTCGCTGTCGCTACAACCCAGCCCGTCAACAGCAAATAACGTCGGGATCCTCCTCGCAGGAATTCAAGGAACGTCTGCTAAGTCCGTTCGCACGGCTGGCGAATATCAAATTCCAGATATTCCCGGTGTCACTCCTGGCAGTGGCATTGCACTTGCTTTGGCTTATTACAACTATGGCCTGACCCTTGACTCAAGACACGCTCATCTCTACACCAACCTAGGAAGCCTTCTCAAGGACATCGGCCAGTTGTCTGTTGCAATCAAAATGTACGAATTGGCTGTCCAATGTGACAATAAGTTTGATATTGCACTAGCAAACCTCGCAAATGCTGTAAAGGATTCTGGCAGAATCAACGATGCCATCGGATACTATCGGCGAGCTGTGAATGCTAACCCAGATTTTGCCGAGGCAGTATGTGGCCTAGCAAATGCATTGAATTCTGTTTGCAACTGGGGAGGTAGAGGAGGCATCTCTCCTGGTCGTGGAATCAGGGATTTGTGGCACGTCGATGATCAAGGCCGGCTCCGTGATGCAAAGGAGATGACAGCTGATACGGGATGGATCAAACGAGTTGTTGATATAGTTGACAAACAACTGAAGGATGGTGAACTTTGGGGCTGTGGCACTCTTCAGAACCTAACCCCGGACCAATTGTGCTCGGCCCTGATGTCTCCATCCAGCAATACCACGGATGCAATGAGCAGACGAACAACGCTCAACTCCTTGCTACGTTCCTGGTCAGGGAAAAGGTGGGAAGGATCCCGGACTGTACGACTGATAGAACGAATGGTGAAGTATATTGGCTGGCAATGGTATCAAGATCGATATGTGCACCGTAGAGAATACCCGGCTTCGAGGTATGCACGTCCTAATTTTCCAGGGGCACTTACCCCACCCAGTGCACCGACTGTCTTACCATTCCATACATTTACTTGCCCATTATCTGCAAAGCAAATTCGCCATATCTCTCAGCGCAACGGGCTGCGTATTTCCTGTTCCACACTTCGTTCCCCATGGCTTCCTGCTACGGTATATCCACCTCCAGCTCCGCCGAATCCGCAAATCATAGTTGGTTATGTCTCGTCCGACTTCAACAATCACCCTCTGGCTCACCTTATGCAGTCTGTTTTTGGCCTTCATAATCCAAGTCGTGTAAAAGCGATTTGTTATGCAACCACAGCCAGTGATAACTCTATTCACCGTCAACAAATCCAACGGGAAGCTCCTGTTTTCCGTGATGTTAGCAGTTGGTCTGTTGATCGACTGGTGGATCAAATTGTCAGAGATGGTGTTCATATTCTCGTCAACCTAAATGGTTATACACGTGGTGCTCGTAACGAGGTGTTTGCAGCTCGACCTGCACCTATACATATGTCCTTCATGGGATTTGCTGGGTCATTGGGTGCCGAATGGTCCGACTACATTCTAGCCGATGAACTCTCTATTCCACCTAGTACTCTGGCCCCTCGGGGACAATCCGCAAGGATAGAAGATCGACTGTATGATGTGGATCACAACGAAGATGCAGATGACTGGATATATAGTGAGAAAATTGTGTATACCAAGCACACCTTTTTCTGCTGTGATCACAGGCAAAGTGCACCGGATGCACGCGCGTCCAAGTTGACATGGGAAGAGGAGCAAGCAAATAGGTGGAAGATGCGCAAGGAGCTGTTTCCTGACCTCAAGGATGATACAGTGATTCTTGGTAACTTTAATCAGCTGTACAAGGTATGTCTGCATAGCCCATTGAACCAGA